GTGCTTGTTTGTTTCCTCAGTTTTTAGCTTTTCTAATCTATATATCTTATTTTTATCTATTTTCCTAATTCTCTATTTGAAGCTGGTTGACGCAACAACAATGTGGTAAACTTTGCATGTTACTCTTAAAGTTACGTCATTGATTAAAGGAAATTATTGCAGGTTTTGCAAAATGGAATCTGTCATGTCTATGCCTGGATCTTTGGTAAAAACCAAAGAATCCTTCGCTAGTGTAGGGGGTTATTAAAAAAATAAACAAATGTACTGATTTTAAGGCAACCTTAATTGGAAGATATTTTAAAACTTCGTATTTTTTGTACATAATCACAAATATTTTAGTGTCCATTAGTGTTTTTAACCAATAATGGACTTTTCTTTCAGATTTTACAAACTCGTCAACACAAAACTACCAACAGTCCCTGCGAGTGTTGTAGACTAGACTGTAAATACCCCAATATTCTGTTTATGCTGTAACTATTCAGAAACTGACCATTTGTTTCAGGAGTCTTTAGAATCATTAGTCAGAAATTAGCTCCTTATAAATTAAATAAAAGTGATTCTTTTAACCTTACTTTGCATACTCTGCTGGGCCCATGATGAGACCCTAAAAGCAGTTTTACTTCTTCTTTTTTTCACCAAGCCTCGCCACAATTGGTAAAGTGTTTTTTAAAAAATTAAAAAGTAAACTGTACAATGACTCTGAGGGCACATACAGGTTAACAGAGTTGAGGAAGTTATCTGCTTCATTCTGTTGCTTCATTCTGCATGTTATCTGGTGATATGCAGAGAGATATTTGTGTGCTCCTGCTCTGTCAGTTTGGATTTTTGCAGTCTGAGGTGGGACTCTGTGCATCGTCAAGTCCATACAGTCTTTAAAGTCTGGGTGATGTCAGTTCTTCGGCTTGTTGTTTACTGACTCAGTTCAGAGCTTTCCTCCGTTGACCCTTGACAATAATTTCCAAGACATGAGTTAGATCCATCATCTTAGTGAGCATATCCATGATGTCAGGGTGCTCCCTTGCTCCACTGATGAACTCTTCCAGCGTCAGCTCACCTGAGAGAGAGAGAAGTGGCACTCTGTGCATTTAAAGCTGTGATTTTATGGAAATAAATCACAAAGCAGAACATTTCACAACTATCAGAATGTTTACTCATGCTTTGTATTCATTTCACTCTGGTCACGGTGACAAAAGCCTTTTATCACTGGTTTCATTCTTGATACCCTTTATACACAATCATGCGTTTGTTACCTTCTCCGTTGACATCAATCTTCTCATATATAAGATGCACAATCTCTTCTGGAGGGATGTTGTAGCTTCTGGTGATGTCTTGAATGGCCTAAAAGAGAGTCATGTAAACAAGGTGATCATTGTATGGCTTTAGTCAGGAGTTAAGAATGAGCCAAATTGAAAACAGAGGTGAATTAGGAAGCCGTTGGATTTAGGTGCTGTGGCTACTTATGTGTGCTTCCAGAGTTAATCTTCAAGGCACCATTCAGAGAATTCTGCGAAGCTCACTACTTTGGATGCAGAAATCTGATTAGGAAGATTTCAGAGAAGGCATACTCTACCTTAAATATAGTTTCCAGTTCATCCTTGTCAATTTTTCCATTTCCATCCTGATCAAAGAGCTTGAAGTACCACTTTAGCTTCTGATTTATTTCTCCTTTCAATAATAAACTAATGCCTGCAATATATTCAACAAAGTCTATGTAGCCATCCTGTAAAATAAAAAAGGGAAAGGAGTGTAAATCTCAGATCATTTACTGAAAAAGCAAAACTTGTTTACTTCAAAGAATAATTACCAAATTCTGAATTAAATAATTAAGTTTTTTATCTTTGCAAACAAGGGCTACAAGTGCAGCTAATTTCAAACTAAGCTATATCAGATATTTAGAGACACTAAATTTAATACTTATAACTTTTTATCCTTTAAGTTGGAACAAACTAAATGATTCAGAGCATAAAATGTATTTTCTTTTGAACTCTTGTAGAAAAGAAAATCTGAGATCTTCATAATAATTGATGCATTCTACAGTATTACATACTGATAAAGACACCATTGAGCTATTTGCAAAACTGGTCCCCCCTGATCTGCATTACTCTATACTTCAAGTTTCCTGGTATTCTTCATGTGTTTCTTCCACCCAGTTCATATCCTCCAATATTAAATGTTTTCATACCCCATCCATGTCAAAGGTGACGAAGACCTGGTCCACATAACTGCTGGCCTCCTCTGTCATACCGTTCATTTCGAGCATTGTCTTCAGCTCAAAGAGCGTGATGAGCCCCGAAGGAGATTCCCTCATGAACTTTGTGTACCAGTGGTGCATGTCCTCCTCCAGGATATCATCCAGGTTGGAGCCGTGGGCACCCATTTTCACTCCAGATGATTGGGACTTTTGTCCAAAAACCCGTAGAGAGCTGCTGATAAAAGTGAATCCACAGAGGAAAGTGTAGCACCTACTCTGAGCTCTGAGTAACAACAACCTCCTTAAGCTTTATGTGTCTTGAGGCAACTAAAAGGAGACATAACCCTTTAATAGGATAAGCAGAGAATCTCGCTAAAACGTCAGGGCAAAGTGTGTGCTCTTTGATTGAACTAGTTTCCATTGGCACAAAGGAACTTCCTGCAGGGGTCACTTTCAGAGAAAGCATAGAGCATAACTTTCAGAGAATGGGTTTGTTTTTGGTTCGTTAAGCCATTTGACGGCCATCTATGAATAATTCAAGTATTAAATAAAGCACCAAATACTAGGGATGAACCCATGTTGTGTCTACACATATCAGAAAATTTAGCAAAAAATGATTTGAAATTGTATCTTTAGGTACTGTGTTACTAAAAGCCTATAATAAAAATATGTTATCTATCTTGTCATCTAAAGATCTGGAAACCTTATCCACGCCTTTATTTCCTCACGTCTTGATTACTGTAACTCTCTCTATTTAGGTGTCTGTCAGTCAAGCCTGTCCCGTCCCAAAGTTTGGTATTATTTATGCCAAATATGTATGCATATGAATGTACGTTTTCCTGACTCCTAATAACTTTGATTTTGGGATTTTCTCCTACAAGTCGTGAATAATCAAATCTTGTCATTTCTATGGCTTTCTGCCACCCCAGTGTTTGACGCTTATAGGCTAATTGTGCTTGCGTTTCTAACAATGGCAAGACTGATATTTTTAATCATCAGTCAGCTAGACTTCTTCAAGCATAAGTTTAATAATGATGCATTTTCCATGTGAATTTAATCTCAGCATGATCTGAGTTTTTAAGAATACAGAAAAATGTTGCACACACATTATATGTGTTCTTCGAGCACTGTTGACCTGTCACTGAACTCTGTGACTGGTCTCTGATCTACCATGAAGTAAAAAACAAAACAAGGCTATCAAAGCTCAGCGTGCCTGTTAGAGTAAATCTGGCTTTGGATGATTACTGATTCTTAAAATAGCATTCAGAAGAAAAAGCTCCTTTACTACAAGCAAGACATGCAGTTGCTACCTGTTAGACATAGACAGCCAGAATGGTGCCCATGAGCTATCACTGCTGCCAGCATATTTAGTAAAAATGTTTACTTAGAGGGAAAAAAATCCCCTCCGCGACTCTAAATACAGCACAGAGCAAAGTTGTCCAGTCTGGATCAATAAATTCCGTCTCAACAAAAATGTGCCAATATCTGCAATATTTGGGAATTTCAAAGAGCAAACAGGGCAGTGTGGTTTTATGTCCAGCTGTTGAAATCTTTTGGATCCCACAGATGCGCTGCTGTTTAAACTTAACCTTTTGACCACCATGTGACTGTCATGCAGGATGGCTGTTTGTGAACATGTAAAACTGTATTTCCCCCCTAGGAAAAAGAAGAACAAGAAATAAAACTCAGCATTTCTTTCCATATAGTGTTATTAGTAATTCGTGTAATACATAATACTTCCTTTTCTCGGGAAGTCTCTTTTGTCGTTTGAGAAAATTGCTGACGTAAAATTTGTTTTAGTGAAATGTGCAGCTGTGTAAATGATGCAATGTAAGTTCCATGGAAGCAACACCACAGTTGTTAAATCACATATAAGTATTTGCATTATTGCATCAGTTGTAAAAAAGGGGTTAGCCTTTTAAAGGAATGACTGTAATATCTTTATTTGGGAAACACATTCTTGGAAATTCAACAAGTTAAAGTGAAGAGAACTGAATGTCTGGTGTGGAGCAACTATCCTTGGAAATACAAACATTTATTACAGCTGTCATCTTAGACATACAGACATAATCACTGACACAGTAGCCAAAAAATAAATTAAAAACATACAACATAAACTGTTGCCAAAACCGTTGCAATAACCTGCTCCGTAGTATTTACAATGTGAATTCCCGTTCTCTGCAAACTGAGCCAGAGAAAGGAATCAAGAGAGAGACAAAATCCCTCAACTGTCCAGTGGAAAATACTCCCCCTAGTGTTCAACTACCAAAACAAACAGTGAAGGGGAAAACAGGGTCCCAACTATTTGCTTGCCCAATAAAACTGTTCTCGTGCTATAGTACACAAAACAATTTGCGTATAGAGTGCACAGTTTATAAGGGATGCGCAGCCTTTATGTAATAATAAGCAAATGACTCATTTTCCTGTTCATTTCCTATTAAACTGTTGATTGAATTGTGTTTTAGGGCTTTGCAAATGAAGTCGCAAAGCCCAAAAATAACAGCACAGATAAATTCAATACTTCCATTACAAATATACACCAGTTTTCTTATGTACAAATATCACAGTGAGAGTCGAGGAACTTAAAGAACTGACATGTAAATGCAGTAAACTATGAACAGTAAAACACAGTGAAATCTTAAGTACAATATCTCAATGTATTTCTTTCAATAACAATATGTTTTTTGTGTTTGTTTTCCATTTTTTGTGAGTTTGACTATAGGTTATATTTTAACCTTAAAAAATATCCCACACACAAACACACACATGACTACCATTACTTGCGGGGTGGCGCAACAATGGTCATGTAGCCTCCTGTGGTAAAGACGTCTCATATGCAGACTCATGAGAAAACAATGACATCGACGTGACATCATGGATGTTTAGTGGCTCATAAAAACTAAAAAGAAACCAAGAACTGGTTTTCTGGTCTCGCTGTAAACTTCTTGTCCTCAGTTTCCTAAAACCATTTTTAGGGAAGCTGGGTCAATGAACATTGGGTCCGATTCAGATTCCTGGTCATAAAGAAACTGTCTGAACACGTTGTACACCATCTCCCTGCTCAGAGTAAAATTCCTCAGCTGATCCTTCTCCTCTTCAGGCATGTGAAATGTCAGCTTGTAGTCAGCAATGACTAAACCGTTCCTGCGGGGGAGGATTAAACATTTCTGAAGTTTAACGCACAAAATTCGGTGGTTTCACCGAAATACACAGTTCATAAATTCTGAGTGTGACGCGTATTTACCTGAAAGCGTGTATCTCTGCGTTGATGAAGTATCGCCCCAGTGCAGATGAGGTTTTGAAGAGGTCAGAGAGCTGGGTGGGGCAGAACAAAGCATGCAAGAGAAAGCATTAGCAGGAAATTGTTTTGCCTGGCACTCCCCTATCTACCTTTCTCTCAGCTCAATTTTAATGCTAATTGCTTTTACATTAAAATTTCAGAAGAAGATGAAAGCATAAAGCGCACACACAGGTTTTTGGGGTTTTGTGTAAACCAGGGGTGGGCAACTCCAACTCGAGGGCCGGTGTCCCTGCAGGTTTTAGATGTGTCCTTGAACCAACACAGCTGATTTAAATGGCTAAATTACCTCCTGAACATGTCCTGAAGTTCTCCAGAGGCCTGGTAACGAACTAATCATGTGATTCAGGTGTGTTGACCCAAGGTGAGATCTAAAACCTGCAGGACAATACTGCTCTTTCTTTTTGTGTGTGTGTGTGTGTGTGCGCCCGTGGGGGGGGGGGCGTTACTCCACTATTCATAGTGAATGAAACAATAACAATCACTGTGTTTATCTTAAAAACATGCTGTAACCTGAACTGGAATGTTGTCATTCATCTGTTTCGTTTCTTTGGTGCATTGCAGGTGGATTGCACAGAAAACTACTGAGCTGAATACCATGAAACTTTGGCTCATTTTGCTACTATCAGTGTGCAGACATCGGCACATCTTCTATGACATTACCCTCTTTTACAACGTAGCTATTAACTATCCTTGAATTGCCTTATATAACAAGGGCACGTGGACTGCGCCGTGTATACACCATGGTTGCAAAAGGCAATGCTACACTGTTTGCCAGTAAATCTAATATAGCCACTGTAAAAGATATTTTGTACATTCACTATAAGGACAAACGAATTGGGCCAGATCTCCTAATCTTTGAATTTAGGTGTTTTCAGTCTCATTGCCACAAGTGCAGAAAAATCCAGCACTTGAGAGTCTGCCTTTACAGATATTTGTAAAACAATGAGTTGTTCTAAAAAGCGTAGTGCTGTAATAGGATGCAGTTGCAACAAGCCAGTTTGTGAAATTTATTCCCCTCCCTTAACTCTTAAAGTTTAATTTCCACATTTAACTCTAAGTGGTATTAACTACGTTAATACCACTTAGAGTGACCATCCATAATCTACTTCTTAAAACAGTTTTTAGGAACCGCAACTCAGCCACAGAGGGGTAGACCACAGATACCGGTGGTAACGTTGCAGAGTAGGGTCACCGACTGCTGAGGCGCCGATGTTCTTCTGACTAAATGCAAAGTTCCAAAACCTTCCTTGATCTTTACATTAAATCAAAAACTGCACGCCAGGATCATCACAGTATGGGTTTCCATAGCCGAGCAGGTGTCATCTGTAGATGGCCCAGTGATTTTGTCCATACAGAGTATGTAGCAAGTTCTAAATACAACCAGCTAACACGAACAGATCAAGTACATCGTTTATAAAATATAAGTTATAAGTGGTCCAACCTTTGTTCCTAGTTCTGTAGCCAGTGTTTGGCTTTTATTGGAGGAATTGGTGGCGAGTTCGTCTGTGAAGACCTGGTTTGGCATCTGGAAGCTCCCACGGAAATTCTGAATGACTGTAAACGATGAAGGGTCAAATATGTCATCCTCATCCTGATGGATCGCTGCCCAAAGAGAAATCAGTGAGTGAAAAATTCGAATAGTTAAAAATGCTGCATTGTAGCTCCCTGCAATATTCATGCTTTCACATAACATAAATTATATATTTTTTAATTTCATTCATTTCCATCTTAATGAATGCGCCACAACGTAGCACTAACAAGTAAAGAAACATAACCTTACCTGCACATATAGCCAGCGAAGTAAAAATCACTGCAATGATGACAATGAGGATGAATATTATGACCATCCATAATCTAATTTCCCAGAAGACTTTCTCATTCAGCTCTTTCTTTATCCCACGCTTAGTGCAGTCCTAGAAGATAATATAAATAATGAAATGGAATACACTTTACAAGGCAGCAGGTTTGTCATTAACTTAGATTTCTAGTCAGTTAATATACAGGCA